TTGGGTCCGTTTTTGGATACCCTAAATATTAGGTGCCGTACTATATTAAGGACCCAAAAAGGGACCCTAATTTTGACAACCACCCATGAGCATACAAGGAACCCGAAGGAATAGCGCAGGTAGTTGTCTAGTCTAGGCGTGTGTATTCAGCCCTAAACCCTAAGACTTGGTTAACCCTGATAACCCGATAAACCCCACAACCTAAGTCCTAAACCCTAAACCCTATAAACCCCGAACCCCAACGCAGGCTCTGGCCTGAACTCGGACAGGGACAGGCTGCGAATCTTCTCGCATTGAGAAGAAATGCCTTGAAGAAACCTGAGGGTGCTCAAGCGTTCCTGGTCCCTGCGGGCAGCCACTCTCTCCGCTTCAGCAGTCAGCTCAAACTCGCCAATGCGCACAACCTTGGAAGAGCTGACAAACTGCGCTGTGGCAAAAGCCCCATTTCCCGTGAAAAGGTCATAGACAAGGCTGATCAGCTAGTCCTTCGAGGAATGATGTGATGCATCAGTCACCACGCAAATTTGCTTTGCGCCCAACAAGGAAAGATGGCTTTCTTCCTTGTCTAGGATACCCAGTAACCTAAGAATAAAAAGGCCTCTCTTTTTGGTATTGGGTAACTTTATAAGGATCCTAGGACCACAAAAAGGGCATAAGGGTACTACCGGGCATCCTAGTCCTTGTACATGCTCAGCAACTTGCATATCCACTGATCCACACTCCCCGGCTTGATACCACCCCGGCGGTCCAAACCCTTAACCTGAAAACCTTAATTACTAAACACCCTAAACCCTAAACCTGTAATAACCCTAAACTCTATAAACCCTAATATCCCTAAACCCTAAACCCTATAACCTGAAGCCCCGAACCCCAAACCCTAAACACTAAGGAACCCTATAGATCCCTTTAAGTAAAACTCTAAACCCTAATATCCCTGATATCCCTAAACCCTGAATCCAAGGCAGCCTCAATCTCCTTCTTCATGTCCTGCGTCAGAAGTCTTTCCTACTATTTGCTTAAGAACCACCAAAAAACTAAAAAAACAAATATTCCTTATGGGGGTAATATAGGGATTATTATGTTTTATTTTTTGGGGGGGCTTCTTAAGCAAATAGTAGTTTCTGACGGCTCGACAGGGCTTGGAGATGAAGTGGGTTTAGGGTTCAGGGTTTAGAGTGTTTAATAAGGTTCTACCTTAAACTACCAAACCCTACTTTTGGAATAAGAACCTACAAAAAAGTAGGGTTTGGTAGGCTAAGGTAGGTTTCTGAGCAGTTCATTTATAACTAACCCTAAGGGTCCACGTACTCATATAGTATATACGCTGGCATTAAAGTACACCCTATATAGGTACATTGGGCCCAAAGTATATGCTATATGGGCACATGGACCCGTAGGGTAAGGAGATCCTTCTTCCTATTATTCAGCTGTGGGAAGGGGATCCTAAACTAAAACGGGCAAAAGGCACTACTCAGGTACCTAGGGTTCGGTCTTTGAGTTAGGGCTTCGGTTCTAGGGTTTAGACTTGAGGGCCAGGGTGTAGCCCTGTATTATAGCACCCTTATAGATCCCTTACAGTAGCCCTCATAGACTCCTTTTAGAAGGAGTCCTATTCTAACTACCAAGGCCCGGGTTTAGGGTTGAGTTTTTGAGGGGTTCCAGGGTTTTAGGGTTTCAGGCTCTCCAAGATGCGCGGAGCTCTGGATAACGGATGTGTGAAACCCTAGAGTTCACGGATCAGGGCTTGGAGTTTAACTTAACCTACTATTTGCTTAAGAACCCCCAAAAAAATAAAAAATATATTCCTTATGGGGGGGGTAGTTTAGGGATTATTATTTTTATTTTTTGGGGGCTTCTTAAGCAAATAGTAGTAACCCTACAATCTGAGGCTTTCAGGCTTAGGCTTTTTCCGGCTTCGAGGTGCTTGGGTTTCCCTGAACTTGCGGCTTTCCAGATCTAGAGCTTAGAAGCTGCCCCCCACCCTGTAATACGGTTGATGATAGAAATCCTGCATGACCCATAGTAAGGAATATACCATAATTCCCATCGTTTAGGGTCCTTAAGGTAATGCAGGATTTATATCATCAACCGTAGTGACTATAAGGATTATATAGGATTATATTAGGGCCCTATTATATTCCTATTATACCACTACTACAGGGTGGGGGCAGCTTCTAATGTAGAGCTTTGAAGGGAACTACCGTTTTCAAGGGCTTCACCCTGTAAATCAAAACAGCCCAAAAGCCTTATATAGTAGGGTCTTTGGGCCCGAAAGCCTTAATATATGAGTCCTTAGATCCCTAGGGTAAGGAGTCAGAACCACTTTTCATCATAGGGTTTGGGGCTACAGGTAGGTAAGCCCCTTCGGAGGAACCCCAAAGATCCATCCCTTGGAGGAACCCGGTCATCCCACTAAAACTAAAACCCTAAACCCTCCTAAAACCCTAAACCCCTAAACCCCTGAATGTATAGCGCCTCAAGATGCTGGATGTCGGCGATCACCGTCATCACAGCATCGAGCCTTGGGTGTTAGGGTTTAGGGGTTTAGGGGTTCATAGTCCAGGGGTTTCGGGCTCAAGGGTTTAGGGGTTCAAAGGTTTAGGGTGTAGGGTTTCTAGTAGGATCCTGAGGTAGAGCTTAGAGATAAATAGCTTCAGCCAGTTCCGAAGTAATAATGGGACCTTAAGACTGAGAATAGAACTTGTGGAGTTGAAATACCTGTATTGATTAAGAAGGCGAGGTATGGCTAAAAGTAGGTATCTGTTTGTTGCTGTAACTAGTAGTTGTACATGCTAAGGAGATTCGGGGCCTTCAGAATTGTGATAGGGTGAAAGGATAGGTAACATATGGAAGACGAAAGTAAAGTATTGTTATTCGCAAGTAAGTAGTAGTTTTAGCAATTGTAGCTCTACCTTTTTCCGAAGTAAGGGTGTAGGGTGTGTAAAAATCGGTAAGTTGCGCTTGAGTGCCGTTTTGTTTTCAGCGAAAGTTTGGAAGGGGCTTTCGTTTGCAAGCTGATCTCGAATTTGGGGCTGGGCTTGGCTGGACTGGGCTGGTTCTTGAGGATTTGGGGTTCAGGGATTTGGGTTTAGGGTTTAGGGCAGGGTAAAAGGTCCAGTAAAGCTTACTTGCTGAGTTCATAAAGCCCCCCAAAAGTGTGCACTTTCAGTTTTATATTGGGTAACATAATCCCAGAAAGTGTAAAGTGTATCCACTCAGCTACTAAGACTTGGCTGCCTGGGTTTTAAGCGGGTTATCAGAGCAGCTGTTTTTCGAACCTCAACTCTACCATCCTATAAACCCGGTAAAGCCCAAAGCCCTAAACCATCATAACGTAGGGGCTTAAATAATTACCAATAGGTATTATAAGTATATATACCCCAAAGTTCTATTCTAATTATTAGGAGGGTCCCTACATTAGATATCACCCTCCAAAATAGCAAGATTCACTTCAGGAACCCTAGTTAAGGTCCAAGGTTTCTTAATCAGGTTCCTACATTACCCTGCAAGCCCACATAAACTCCGACTACACAATCAATTGCGGACTATAACGACGGCAATGCGAAGAGACGTTCATGTCACAGGTAACCTTGAGCCCAAAACCAAAAAGATCATACAAATACAAGGGAACCTCATAACCCTAAACCCTAAACAGAGAGATTCTGAAAACGGCTGTACTCCAGCATGACAAACACAACAGCAACAATCACACCAGTGAAACCACGGCTTCATGATATAAATCATGCGTTGCCTTAAGGACCCTGAACTATAGGAATTGTGGTATATTCCTTATTATGGGTACTGCAGGATTATATATCATCAACCGTAGGGCTTCTGAGGCCTCGTGAGGTTCCGGACAGTCCAGTCTAGTGGCGGAACCTGATTAAGAAACCTTGGGCCTTTATTAGGGTTCCTTCTATGAGCCCTACTATTTGGGGGTTGTGGGGCCAGAGTTCCTTACTCAGGTTCCTACATTATAGGATAGGCTTTCTGGCTTCAATGTTCAGGGCTTCTGTTGCAGCTAAAGTCCTAGCTACTAAACACCAAACCCTAAACCCTAAACCCTGACCCCAAGGGTCCAAGTACCTAATAATCATATACTCTCCGAATTCCTAACCTACATAACTACTATCCTAAAACCGAGTACCTAATGATTAACCCCCTACATTTTTGGCACCCTTATAGTAGCCCCTTATAGACCCCTTTATAGGAGCCTAATTCTTGGGTCCTTTGGATCCTTGAGGTGAGGCCCAAAGGGCCCTAATTCGCTAAAAGGGTACTTAAAGGATCATGGGACTTAGTAAGGGTTCTTATAGGGCGCCTTAAAGGGATCTATAGGGCTCCTTAAAAGGGTTCTATGGGGTTTAGGGTTTAGGGTTTATACGTTCCGCATAGGCGATGAAGTGCGCCAAAGAAGCCGCTGAATGTGGTAGAGACAAACCATGATGCAGGGGACGTAGAAGGCAAAAGCCTGAATTTTCGCTTCAGGTTTACCAGTCATAGCTTATGTTATGGGGGGATTATGTATGGTATAGTAACTATATTCGGCACTGATGTCAATTAAGGAGAAACCCATGCCTACTTCTTCCGACTGCCCTCTTGTTGACTTGAGGTCGAAGACCCTGACCCCATACCAGGCCCAGAAACTCAGACTTGTTACTCATTGAAATGAATCGCGTGCACACAACCCGCACCCCCCCTAAACCCTGAACTCAAAGCCGAAAATAAACACAAAAAACCTAAACCCTAAACCCTAAACCTTAAACCGTGGCCTTGAATGACAGGCGGGGGAGGCTGACTCAGATCCAGACTTCGTGGTTTCGGATCGGGAATATTGTGGATTTCAAGTGGGGGTTGTTCTAAATTAGGGTCCCTTTTTGGGTACCCTATATAATAAGGACTATACTACTATAGGGCCCAAAAAGGGACCATAGAACAACCCCCAAGTGCTTTAAACTTCCCTCTCAGTGCTGCTAATGAGGTTTCAGTACTGTTTAGTTTCAAGGCTTTTTCGACCCCCCCTGTGAGGGCCAGATAGTGCGCTTTTTCGCTCCCGCGCCGGAGCTTTCGTTCTTTCCGGGCATCTCGATGACGCACATGAAATAGTCCTTGGAACTACTTAGAGGATCATGGGACTTAGTAAGTAGGTTATAAGTGGGGTTATAAGTCCCCTACTAATTATAACCTACTTTTCACCTTACTTACTAAGTCCCATGAGCCTTCAAGTAGGGCTTAGGGCTTAGGGACCAGGGCGTAGGATGTTGGGGCTTTGGGGTGAGGGTTTGGGCGTTTCCGAAAATTAGGGGTACCTTATAATTATTGCGGGGTCCTTAAAAGAAGAATCCTGCTATTTTAATAATTAGGGTACTATATTAGGGTCCCCCATTTTCGGAAACTCCCGTATAGGGTTGGGGAGTTACTTTTTAGGGTTCTAAGTGCAGAAGTTCTGCAGCTACAAGGCCTTACGCAACGTTTAAAGCCTTAGCGTGAGACGCAACTCCAACAATGTGTACCCCATTACAACCAAAAAACTCTAACACAACTCATGCGCCAAACAACAAACACCATAAACAGCCCCAGGACCACAAAACCCTACATCGTCCACCCTAAGGCAACAACGCTGAACTCTGAACCCCAAACCCTCCTTAAACCACAAGTCAGAAACCCTGAACCCTCCCAAGTTCCCCCTGACAACCCTAAGGGTCCGTGTACCCAAATCATATATACTTCGGCCCCAAAGTATCTATATAGGGACTACTTTAAGGCCAAAGTATGTACTTTTTGGGTACATGGACCCTGACGTACATTGACCCTTGTGGTAAACCCTACAAGTAGACCCTTAAAGGAACCCTTCACGGAACGCTTGGAGGAACGTTTCAAGGAACCCTTACAGGAACCCCTAAAGGAACCTTTCAAGGAATCCTTACAGGAACCTTTCAAGGGACCCTTACAGGAACCCTTAAAGGACCCCTTCAACGGACCCTCAAAGGAGCCCTAGGATTAACAAAACCAAGGCACCTCGATGGCCGCGGCCCGCTTCGGACCACTCCAGGAAGCGTCTGCCCGACATCGCACATCCTGAAAGTTGCTTGGTGGGGCCTTAGGGTTCCTTTCCCAAAGGGTCCGAAGTACTTATATAGTAGAATGTAGGGTTTCTATTTTCGGAATTAGAATTATGATTAGGGGAAAGATTCCCCATAACAGTACCTAGGACCCTTTGGGCTTTACAGGGATCTAGTATAAGGCTCCCTCTCCAGGATCTACAAGGGTTTCGGGCCTTAGGGTTTAGGGTTGAGGATGGTTTAGGGGTTTAGGGTTTACGATGGTTTAGGGTACAAGGGTTCGGGGCGTTACCCTATCCCTCCAAGGACCTCATAGTTAGGGCCCTAGACCCCTTAAGGAGCCCATAATAAGGTCCCTGGAGGCCTAGGGTAAGGCTAAAAAGTTTAAAGTTCCCCCATTGGCTATCTAAACCCTAAACCCTAAACCCTAAACCCTAAACTCTAATAAGGTCCCTGGAGGCATAGGGTCAGGGTTTAGGATTTAGCTCAGTACCCCCCTGGGGCCCTGTAATAGACACTCAATTCTTCAAGGGCTCCTTAAAGGGATCTATAGGGCTCCTTAAAGGGGTTCTATGGGGTTTAGGGTTTAGGGTCTACTTGAAGGCTCATGGGACTTAGTAAGTAAGGTTATAAGTAGGTTATAAGTAGGACAACCCCAGTTAGGGGACTTATAACCCCAATTATAACCTACTTACTAAGTCCCATGATCCTCTAAGTAAGCCTGCATAGAGACAGACCAGAAACTACACGGGTGGTTGTCAATATTAGGGTCCCTTTTTGGGTCCTGATTATAATGCGGCACCTAATGTTTGGGGTACCCAAAAAAGGACCCTAATTTTGACAAACTATCCACATCAACCTGCACAGCATTACCTCGACCAAAAATGCACACTTCCCCGTTAAAGATCAAGCAAGCATCCTGTTGGCCGTAATTAAGCCCTACTTAAGGGATCATGAGACTTAGTCATTAATTGTAGCTTATAAATAAGGTAGCTATATCTATGTTTACTTATAGCCCATAATTCTTCAGGTACTTGTAACCTTACTTGCTATATAAGTCCCATGATCCTCCAAGTACACCAAGCATCCTTCTTGGCACGATAGCCCGCATCGCGGAAAAGCTTCAAGTATTCCGTCGGTGTGCAGCCCCTAAGATCTATGCTGCAGGGGTGTGTGCGGTCGCTTGAAGGTTTTGGGTGTAGGGTTACTAGGGTTGAGGCTTTAGGCTTCACGGTTCGAGCGTGTTGGCGTTGGAGGTTCGTTGATTTCTGATGACCATCCTCCACCCAACAGGTCTGCTAAACCGCTAACCCCATACCACTATGGGCTATTAGACCCTAAAGATCCCTATTAGGATCCTATTAAGGGTAGATTAAGGTACCCATAAGGTCTAATAGCCCATAGTGGTAGTTCGAACCGCACTGCATCATGATCAATGCAGACCCTTGATTAATACAGACAAGAACGGGGATCCTAATACTGAGGCCCTTAAGGACAGCGGAAAAATCAACCAGGGAGGCTTTTCCTATCCCCGACCTAAAACTCTTGCATACCCTGCTTATTCATCCCTCACTACATAGTTCCAAATCTGACCGAACCTCTCTTATCCAACCCTGATTTGAGGGGCAGGGGACTTAGTAAGTAGGTTATATGCAGAGTTATAAGTGCCCTAAATGAAAAAAGCCCAATTATAACCCTACTTATAACCTACTTACTAAGTCCCCTGCCTTCCAAGTGCTTTGACTGGCCGAGTGGCTGCATGGTGCCCCAGACCTCACTTTGGATAAGTCGAGGCCTCGCTTGCGGACATCTCTCGTAAACCCGAAAATCGAACCCCAATTCCTACGGAAGGGGTCTATAAGGGATCTATAGTAGGGTTCTATAACAAGGGTTTTGGGGATATGGAACCCCAAGATACGGTAAACCCCCGAATCCCTGCAGTGAATCCTAGACCCTACTTGGAGGATCAGGGGACTAAGTAGGGTTATAAGTACCCTACTTGGGGATATAAGTAACTGTAAGTATAGTGATCGTATTTAGAATCTTAGTTACTAAGGCCCATGATCCTTTAAGTAGCCATAGAGCAATCGAACCCTTACAACCTCCGGTAAGGGGCCCTTTGAGGGTTCCTCTAGGGGCTCGTTTAAAGGAACTACTTGAAGGATCGTGGGACTTAGTAGTTAGGGTTATAAAGAAGGTAAATATACCTACAATTACTTCTATGCCCACTTAGGCTACTTATAACTATACTTACGAAGTCCCCTGATCCTCCAAGTAGCCCCTGAAACCTAAACCCTAAACCCTATAGATCCCTTTAAGGAACCCTATAGATCCCTTTAAGGAACCCTATACATAGATCCCTTTAAGGATATAGATCCCTTTAAGGAGCCCTTGAAGTAGCCCCAACCCCAAGCGGCCTCTGCTTGAGGAGCTTTTTCGCTCCTTTCCAGACGTGGCACTCGAAGCCTTCCACATCCACCTGCCGGTTTCGGGCTCGTAGGGCTTAGTCTGGGCCCAGATCTTCCAAAATCCCTAGGGGCTTACTTGGAGGATCAGGGGACTTAGAAAGTAAGGCTATAAGTGCCCTAATTGGGGGTACGAGTAGTTATAAGCTCGTACCCTGGAAACAAAAATAGCCCCAAAGCCTTATATACGGTTGATGATATAAATCCTGCATTACCTTGAGGACCCGAAACTATGGGAATTATGGTACATTCCTTATTATGGGTGATGCAGGATTTATACCCTAAACCCTAAACCCCTAAACCCTAAACCCTAAACCGTACTATATGAGTCCTTAGATCCCAAGGGTAAGGAGTCCGGGCTCGTCACGGGACTTAACTTAAGCTGGGTTCTTGTTAAGGAACTTAATTTAAGTTACCATAATAGGGATCTATCGTAAATAATAGGGTTTCCTTATTATGGTAACTTAAATTAAGTTCCTTAACAAGAACCCAGCTTAAGGTACCATAATACGGAAACCTTATTATTCACTATAGATCCCTATTCTGGTAGCTCAATCTATATCCCTTAACAAGAACCCACTAACTTCTTAGGGATCAACATAGCCCAAAAGCCTTATGTAGTATGGTCTTTGGGCCCGAAAGCCTTAATTTCTGAGTCCTTAGATCGCTAGGGGTAGGGCTTAGATTCTTTAAGGGCTAGTGTTCTTTGAGATGAACTGCACTCCCTTTCCGAAGATCCGAAGCGCTGGCATGCCTTAAGGGCTTGAGGGCTTAGAGCCCAGGGCAACCTTTTAGGGTGCCTTTAGGGGAACCCTTAAGGGCACTAAGAGCTCTTTTTGTTTTTAAGGGGGTTTAGGGTTTAGGGGTTTAGGGTTTAGGGGTTTAGGGGTTTAGGGTTTAGGGTTTAGGGGTTTAGGGTTTAGGGGTTTAGGGGTTTAGGGGTTTAGGGTTTAGGGGTTTAGGGTTTAGGGGTTTGGGGTTTAGCGGTTTTAGGGTCTTGGGGCATGGGGTTTAGGGTCGCTGTTGACCGGCACAAACGGCCAGCCTCCCCAGTAATCAATATCACCCTTTAACAAGGAGACCCGAAACCCCAAACCCTGAACTAGGCACTCTAGAACGGTCCACCTGTTTATGACACCTCTTCTGCGCTCAGCCAACACCCCGAATTCGTCCCTTTCTGCTTGAAACTCCCACCCCACAACAATCACCACTCTACTGTGGATGGCAAGAATGAGAATTTGCAGTACGTACAGTGATATTACGATACGAAAACAGAATCAGAAAGAACCTCCAAACCTTGAAACGAAACACACTAAGCTCCGAGCCGAAAACCCTGAATAGCGCCCGTTGTCATTGTAGGGCTTGGGGTTTGTGGTTTGGGCGGTTTGAGGTAGTTTTATCAAAATGCAAACGATCTTTAAAGGCAGTCTTGACCCCATGCAATACCCTCAAACAAATACATCCCAATACGCTAGAGACGAAGAGTTATGTCCCGCCTTCACAAAGCTCACCTGTTGGTCAGCGAACTTCAGTTCAGGCAGCTCTTCGTCAAGCACTTTCCTTGCGTTTGTCTTATCTCTTTGGCCCCAAACCCTAAACTTCCGTGACTTCTGCAGACGTCTCGCAGGGTTCGAGTCTTTCTGATACTCTTTGTCGGGGGAGTTGTCCCTAAACTCTAAACCCCCAAACCCTAAACTAAAGTTAAGCTTCACGGAGCTTCGTAACAGTCCAACCATCCCAGAGGCTCGATGTACCTTTTATCAGCGTCCTCTATGGGTTCTCTACAATTGTCGACTATGGGGGATCGGTTCTATAAGGGCTTCAGGGTTAAGGGCTTGAAGGTCCATGTGCCTGTAAAGTATATGCTAAGGGAATAAAGTTCCTAAATGGGACCCCGTTTACAGACATAAGCTAGGTTCGTGAGTAGCCCTTCATCATAAGGATACCCTTTTCTTCTACACTTTCAATTTCAACATGGGGACCCAAAAATGAAAGGGCAAAAGGGTACGACTCGGGAGCCTAGTAGACCCTAAACTAATATAGATCCGGGATACCTTATTTTAGGGGTCCTCATAATAAGGACCCTACTATTTTAGGATACTATATTAGGGCCCCCTATTTTCGGAAACTCCTATGTAGATCCCTTATAGAGCCCTTTAAGGATCCGAACCCTTGGTGCTACTCAGGAACCTAGATGCTATATAGGCAACATGGAGCCTCAGGGGATCTGGGCCCCTACACAGGCACTGCCTGAACCCTCCAGTCTTTAGGGTTCCTTCGGTTGGTTTCCTTGGAAAAAGGTTAATGTGGGGTCTTAAACCCTAAACCCCGAACCCTAAACCCTAAACCCTAAACCCTAAGGTAAGTTAATTTGTGTTCAGGCGAAACTTAAACCCCACCCGGCCCGAAACCCCACAAGATGAAACCCCGAAAACCGGAACAGTCCACCCCGACAGGGAACCCTAAACCTTAACCTAAATCAATCCCTGCATCCCTAAACCCTAAAGCCTTGAACCCAGAAATCCCTACCTTAACCTCAGATGACCTACCTTTTTGAGGACTTATACAAAGAAATCATATTAGGGAACCCTAAAAAGGTAGGTTCCTTAGGGTCCAGGTAGACCCTATTTGAAAAGAAATCGTGCCAAGGCTCATCTCGAATCGACCCCGCACGACGTAGTCGTGCCCAGGTTGCCTCACGATGCTTTCACCTGGGTGGTCAATCAAAATGATGGGCCCTTTTTGGGTACCCGAAATATTATGTGCCGTACTATAATAGGGACCCAAAAAGGGGATCATAATTTTGACAACTACCCACCTCCGCACTTCACCACCCCATCGCCTCTGTGGCAATGGCTGCGATATAGGGTTTTCAGAGCCGTTTGGGGTACTTTTGAAGACTCCTGCAAGAGATCCATAAAGGCTTAGAATTCAGGGCGGATAGAGGCTTCGGTTTTGGGTTTAGGCTTTGCGCCCCAAGATTTCGGGTTTTTGGCTTGGGTTTGGGGCTTAAGGATTATGGTTAGTCATGGTGAACCAGATAGTAATCCTGAGCACATCTGAGCACTATGTAACACTACGACAGATGATGACATCAACTACTTGTGAGTTCGATGCTGTTAGCATAATCAGAACGACGGTTGCTAGGACCTTCTGACTACTACTACGCCGTTTGTGTGCACAATAACCTTACCTTATCTACTCCATACGACGGTAAAAGGACGTTTAACAAAAAAACAGATAATACCAACTTATGCTGGAAGTTTTTGCCACGACCGGCCTTCATTGCCTCTGTCGGACACCATTCCTTGGCTGAGTAACTGCAAGGCCGTTGGTCAATGAACTCACAGGGTCCGACGGTTGATGATATAAATCCTAAGGTTCCTTCAGAGGGATCTATAAGGGTACCCTTTAAGGGGCTCATCTATGAGGGTTTAGGGTTGGTGATGTAAATCCTGCATGACCCATAATAAGGAATATACCATAATTCCCACATATTCCTTATTGTGGGTAATGCAGGATTTATATCATCAACCGCAGTAGTTCATTAACCTAGAGGCTCCGAGTAATGGGAGATTCCTCAAGTTAGGGGTGCCTTATTTGGGGGTCCTTATAATAAGGATCCTTGTATTTAGGGTGCTACATTAGGATCCCCTATTCTCGGAAACTCCCAAATACCAATTGTTAGGGCCCAATTTCCATACCCTGAATGGTTTTTGGACCTTGAAACCCTACTATTTAGGTACTTGGACCCTTAGGGTCAGGACTCGAGTTTAACTTAGAAGGCAGTTTAGTCGGAGAGGAAAGTGGCTGAAGGTTTATGAGTTATGAGCACAGCTCCGGTTTAGGGTTTAGGATCTCAATCTGTGCACTTTGAGCACCAACTACGCCCCGCATGTTGATCAGAGACCCAAACCTCCTATACCCTAACTCCCAAACTCAAAAAACCCGAGCCCCCGACCTCCCAAACCACCTGAACCCAAAACAATAAGCCCTGCACCCTGGACCCTCAAAGAATTAAAAAGCTCAAGTATTCCTAAAAACCCTAAACCCTAAACTCTTAAACCCTCAACCTCCAAACAACGTGGAGCAAGGGCTCGGCATTGCTTCGCAACATCCGACAGTCCCACCGGGTGAAGGTCAATCTGGTCCTCGATCTTCAGCGATCTACAGTTGATGATACAAGCCCTGCATTACGCATTAGAAGCAATATACCATAATTCCCATAGTTTAGGGTCATTAAGGTAATGCAGGATTTTATACCATCAGCCGTAAGGGCTTTTGGAGAGGGGATTTAGTTTTGGACTCCAAACCCTAAATCCTAAGCCGTTATGAGGGGATGGCTTTGGCTTTAGGGTCCGGTCCACGGGTTGGAGTCTCTGGGATAATAAACCCTAAACCCTAAACCCTAAACCCCAAATGCTGAGCACTTAACCCCTGGTCTTCATGAACATCTACCATGCAATAGCCCTCATGGCTTCTAAGTGTGGCTTTCTAGGGCATAGCAATGGGTTCCCGTAAGTAAGGGAGGTTCCTGAGAAACGAACCGTGAGTTTTGGGATATTGAAGCCGGGAACCGAGCAAAGAACCGAATGAATCCCGTTGTGAACCACCCTCGGACCCTTACGTTTTAAAGCATATGGGTGGTTGTCAATGTTAGGGTATCTTTTTGGGTCCTTTTTATAATGCGGCACCTAATATTTAGGGTACCCAAAAAGGGATCCTGTTTTCGGAAACTCCCATATACATCCCTGATTAAGGCTGGCATAGCCCATTATACTGCAACCCGAAGCCAGGCCTTCTGCTTCAAGAATCTCGAAACCAATATGCTTTGAGCTCTCTATTCTGACTTCTTTAACTCAATCCTACCTACTTGTCGGGTATCATGTGGAAGTAAAGGTTAACCGTTTCGGTTATATCTGGATTATATATGGGCTATACTACCCCCAAAACGCTTAAATGCTACCTTCTACTACTACTACTACTACTACTACTACTACTACTACTACTACTACTACTACTACTACTACTACTACTACTACTAGGTTACCCAGTAGCCTAAGAATAAAAAGGCCTCTCTTTTTGGTATTGGGTAACTTTATAAGGATCCTAGGACCACAAAAGGGAATAAGGGTACTACCGGGCATCCTAGTAAACCATCCAAACCCTAAACCCTAAACCCTAAACCCTAAACCCCTAAACCCTAAACCCTAAACCCTAAACCCTAAACCCTCAACCCAAACCCTAAACCGGGGTTTCAGCCGACCCAGAACCCTCAACTCCAAATCCCTTGGAGAGCCTCTGTAGGTCCCCCAAAATTGGGGTCGAGGGCTCCTTGAAAGGAGTCTATATAAGGATTACTATAAGGAGTATTATGGGGGTTTAGTATAGGGGCCTCAGAAATTACCTATACTACCTTAGCTGCTGAGTTCATGAGCCCCAAAAAGTGTACACTTTCAGTTTTATCGGGCTAGTAGTTGCCCAAAAAGTGTGAGGTGTATCCACTCAGCTACTAAGCTACATTGCAGGGGTTCCTTATTCTACTTATAGTATCAAGGACCCCAAGACCCTATTCGAATTATTAAGGCTCCTATATGGTACCCTTATAGTGCCACTATGGTAACCCTTACAGACCCCTTTAAGGGGGCCCTATTCTAGCTATAAACCCGGAGGCTCCATGAGTATAGTACAATTATGGAGTTAGGCCTCAAAAGACCATCCTTATCACCGTTTTAGGTTCCTAATTCCATAGTGGTACTGTATATGGAGCCTCTAGGAAGGGCACCAATATTGCATGATCTCTGAAACGAACCCAAAAATCAAAACGAAGCCTCTGCAGGAAGCCCTTGTAGGAACCCTTAAAGAAGGCCCTGACCCCCGAAAGGAGCCCTTAAAGGAAGCCCTTAAAGAAACCCTTAAAGGAACCCTTAAAACCTCCACCTAAACCCTACACCTCGAAACCCCCAAATCCCTAAACTTAAAACCTCCACCCTCAGTCCGGTCCTTGATGTCTGGATTTGCACATAGACTTGCCTCGGCTGGGCGGAAGTTGCGGATTCAGATTGCCCCCAAAGGGTCCAAACAGTGCCGAAAAAACGAATATGTTTTCGGGTTGTATGGAAGCGTGACGGGGTTTGATGGGATTCTGAAGGTACTTAAGAGCCCTCGGCGTGGGTTGTAACTGGGGTTATACCGGCCCTAAATATGGTTATCCTAGTTATCCTGGCTATAAACTAAGTCCCATTGTACTTAAAAAATCAAGGGACTTGGTAACTAGGGGAATAATTAGGGTAACTATACTTATAACCCCAATTAAGGTGCTTATAACCTTACTTGCTAATTAAGTCTCATGAACCTCCAAGTAGCCCCTAAACCCTGAACCTTAAACCCCATAGATCCCTTAAAGGAGCCCTTTAAGAACCCTTTTAGGAGCAGTTTAAGAGCCCTTAGTATGTCCCGTTGTAAGCGTGTAGAGCAGGGGAGCCTTCAAAATCAGAAGAGTTTAGCGCACCGATGGTCTCGCTGCAACTCCTTTTTGGGATAACTTTACCCTCGGTATCAAAATCGCCCAAAAGCCTTGTATAGTATGGTCTTTGGGCCCAAAAGCCTTAATATATGAGTCCTTAGATCCCTAGGATTATAGGACCCTACAAGTAACATTCGTGAAACCAGGAAAAGGCGCCACAATGGAGACTATAATTACTTGAAGGCTCCAGTCCCTTAGTAAGTAAGGTTATAAGTAGGTTATTAAGGATAGCCTAACCCCACTTGGGGGGCTTATAACGCCACTTACAACTTACTTACTAAGTCCCATGGTCCTCTAATTAGGGCCATGGTCTTCGAAGCAGAGCCACCTTGATGAGTGCGAGGTTCCCCTCCATGGGCTCAAACGTCGTGACATTCCATCCAGCTTTTGCTAAGGACAAAGAATAGACACCGATGTTGCCTCAGGGTGTAGAGTTACCGGCCGTGACTTTGACTTTGTCGTAAGGGCTGAAGTTCAGGAACGAACGTGCTGCTATGTTTAGTGCGCCGTCGCCATGTTAATATCTACTATTGTCATTGCGATGATGATGATGATGATGGTGTTGATGATGGGGATGACGATGATGACTGTGATGATGATGGTGATCGATAGTACCATTATAGCTATTGCGAAAGTTGATGATACTATCTTTACTGCTACTACATTAGTATGATGGAAACTATTTATGGAGCTTTGCTTTCCTTGTCAGCGCTCAAGGGAATACATGCCTGAATCCATATTCTACCCTTTTCTAGGGTACTTACTTGGCGATATCATGGGTTTTAACAATGAAATCATGTATCCAAGAAAGGAGTCGAGCACCATCCTTTAGGTAGACTGTAAACCCTCAACAATTAACTTGTCGTTGCAGCCCTCGACTGGGCTGGCCCACTTAACGCCCTCAGAAAATATGTAGATGAATAGACCCCTCCAACAATAGGGCTGATGTTGCAGATCGACATATTACGTCCTTAAAGTGCGGGTGCTCATTAAACACGACTCTGCATGCATGATGCGGGACGAGGATCCTCTGAAACACATTGGAGGAAAACATGAAATATCCAAATCGCCCGAAAGAAACTTTCCAAGTTGTGCAGTGCATCCTCCACTTCCATAAACAGCTTCACCGAAACTATTCAAGGACGGCAACCAGTAATTTGGCAATGCAGGGACGGCTTAAGGGAAGCTCCGACGAACGGAAGTCGAGTTGCCACCGATGTCCATGGCATGTCCGGGTCGTCCATAAACGGATGCATCGAGGTTCTCCCAGCTATGAGACTGCTTGACCATGTCACTCACGATGTCGTGCAGAACATACACTGCTATCAAGAAGGGCTGCAGGTGAGGAACATTCATACCTTGTCTGGGTTCTTGTTAACGAATTTGGTCTACATCCTGATAATGAAGAACCCATACTATTCACTATTGTTAACGATAGATCGCCATTCTGGCATCTTGAAGTAAGACCCTTCGCAGGAACCCAATTGTGGGCGCAGCTTCTTGCAGGAGCAGGTCAAACTAAACCCTACGCTCCTAAATCTCAGGGGCCAACATCAACTAAGGCTCTTCTTGGAGGGTCGGAGGACTTAAGAAGTAGGCAATAAACGGACTTATGCATATCCCAAACGGGATCCTACTGGGCATTATGGTTTTTATAAGTCTACAAAACGACTACTTACTAAGTCCCCCGACTCGACCACGAGATGCACCTCAGAAACCCCTGCGTGACTAGTTATCCATATCCCCAAGGGTCCAAGTACCTAATAATCATATACTCTCATAAATCTTGAGCTACATTAACTACTATCCTAAACCCAAGTACTTGATTATTGGGTCCTTTGGACCCTTAGGGTATGAGTCTGCCCTTCCAGGTCCTCCAAAAACTACGGCACCCCTCTAAACATGACTCCAAAAGGAATCCTAGCGGTTGATGATATAAATCCTGCATAACACATAATAAGGAATATACCATAATTCCCATGGTTTAGGGTGCTTAAGGTAATGTAATGCAGGATTTATATCATCCACCGTAGCCATGTAGAACAAAGGCTGCAAGCAGCAAACCGGAGCAGAAGCCTAACAGCCTAAACCCAAGCCCCGCACAACAACCATGCGGAGCAGACCCCTGCTCCAAAATCCTTACTACATCCCAAAACAGGAACAGAGACAGCAAACTTGCCCCCCAAACCCTATCTAGGAACCCCAGTAACCTCGGAATAAACAGGGCTCCTTTCCTACTATTGGGTCATTTTGTAAGGAATCTGGGATCACAAAAAGGTATAATGGGTCCGCTGTGGTTAAACCCTAAACCTTTAACCCCTAAGCCGTAAACCCTGAATCTTTCAGGCTCTGAAAAGTATCAGGACCCTTTATGCATCCTAGACCTAGCTATAAACCCTAAACCCTAAAGTCTGCTCCTCACAAGAGACCAGGAACTCTCCCACCGACCGCCCTCTGGCAAAGTACAAGGCCACTGAGGCTGCTTTGCCTGAATTATGGCTTGGGGTTTCAATGCCGCTCTAGGGTTGAAGGGTTTAGGTGTTAGGACCTACTTGGAATCCTCGCTGTGTTATAATGATATAGGCCAGATAGGGTGGAGTATAAGTGTGTTACGAAAGGGTTATAAGTGCATGCTAAGTCTATACTAAGTATGTGTTAAGTCTGTATAATAATGGTTAAAAGATGTTATGTGTTATGTCATGTTAGTAATAAAATCAGTTTTTTAGCTAAGTCAAGTCAAGTCCGCTAACTAGTTATAGTTTTTTTAACTTTTTAGGTAAGGTTTTATGTATATGTTTTTCTATGTGTTGACATGTTTTTTTTATAGAGCTGTAATCCGTTTTTGGTCTAGTGGACATGCTTTTGTGGCTAGCAGGAAAAGCTTTCTGTATAGATCCATTTCTGCATGCACACAAATTTTCGTAACGATTTTTGAAACGAACCTGGAGAGATTCTGTTGCAAGTCCAATTGCCAGGTTTGGCCATGAGCTTCGTAACCATGCCAAAACCACAGACCGAGTTTTTTTTTTGAAAGCCGGAAACCATGTTTGCTTGTAAGTGGTATATCGCCATGTGGCTGGAAAGTTGATATTCATACAGGAATGCAACATGAGTGTTGTGAGAATTCTGTGATACTTTCGTGAGGTTTCCAAACCCAAGCCATCCAATTTGGCCTGCCCGTTTTCCCGCTCTGCAGTAGCCATGGTCACCATTGACAGCCATGTCGTCGTGAAATACCAAAACGAGCCATTCGTCGCCATTCCCCAGTACTTGATTGTCGAAAGCTCCAGTGGCCAAAAGTTTCTGCAGATGCGAGCCTCCAGTTTGCCCATCGTGCAGCTGCTCACAGGGGCCAAAAATCCCAGCAGAGCCAGCTTGACCTTCTACGAGCCCTTCAAGAAGTTGCACGAAAGTCGCAACAAGGCCATGGATCGCTATGCCAACGGCGACGAGGACCAGGGCGACGAGGCCAACCAACTCTTCGAAGACCAGGATGGGGAAGCCCAGCGGCAGCCCAGGCGTCACAAGATCCAAAACCTCCCAGAAACTATCAACATCCACGTGGGGAACGCCATTATTCCATGCCTGCTCCCGGAAGATCGCCGCCGGCCCAAGGCTGCAGACCTGGCAGTGCCACTGGAGAGCAACACCATCGGTGCCATCATCGACCACGTTCGTGCCAAAGTTGAAGAATTGGAGGCCCACATGCAGCAGCCCAAGAAGAAGGCCAAGAAGAAGCAGTAATATAGGCTTCCGACCACTGCAGCTGCGACCCACCGCTTGGGATTGAAAAAAAAGCGCCTCTGCGACTAAGCCATGCATTATGGAGTAAGAGGGAAGCTTTGTCCAGATGTCAAGTTTCTATACCATGAGTTTGGGCCCAGACTGCCCAGTTTTGCTTTTGCCACTTTTGGCCAGCTCCAAGCTTCTTGCCATGGCTGGTGTGCCAGAGAAGGTGGTCCAAGAAGTGGAAGCCATGATGTCCTCGACTGCTCCAGTGAATACGAAAGTGGACCAGATCGTCCAACTTCTAAGGACACATGGCCTTGCCCACGACCAAGTTCTGACTCCAAGTCAGATCTTGGTACACCCAGAAAACCGAGGCAAGTCCATGGTGTCCTACTACGACGTCTGGTCCAAGGGCAGCCAGATGACCAGTGTCGGCTTCCAGCCCAAGCTGCTCGACGGCCAGACCATCTGCACCCAAATGGCCACTGCCGAGACCAAGAGACTTGCCCAAGTGCAAGCCAACCGCCAACTGGTCTCTGAGGCCAAGGGCCATCTGGCACCAGTGAGTGGCCAGGAAGGCACCTGGCTCATGCATGCTTATAATGTTTTGAAAATTGTTTGGTGTTTATAGACCATTATATAAGCCCTGTGTAGATGTTTGGTTCCCTGCCGCTCAGGCTTCCTCTCCCTTGCAGGGAGCCACAGTGTTGCCTTTCTCCGATGCCTCCAGGCGGGCATCCAAGGACCAGAGGGCTATCACGTCGCCATTGCGAAGTCGGACCCAGCATGGCGAGCGATCGAGCAAGGATGGTGCTGGATCGTGCTGGCAGCATCCATTGAAGAAGCCATGCCACAACTTCCCAACTTTATTCAGCATGCTGCCAACTCGTCCAACTCAATATCCAAAGCCATCAACGAGTTGGAGGTTGCCCTCCATGTGGCCACTGCATTTGAGAAGGGCTTGAGCCTTCCAGATGCCATCCAGCAGGCCAGCCAAGGCGACGTGAGATGCCGTGCCAGTGTCCCCGCCATCGCCAAATTCGTCCAGAACTTCGGCGGCGGCAGCCAGGGGTTTCCACTCCTCCATTTCCTTGCCAATTTTGGGAAGCAGTTTAATGCCACACTTCTGGTGGGAACCGAGCTGATGTCCACCCTGGTGTCGCTAGATTTCAAGCAAGCGACGTGCATCTTTCCCATGCTTCGTGTGGCGGCATGGGCTACCATGTTGACCAGCCCAAAATCCCAAGACGGGTTCAGCCGCATCCTTTCCACCAACGATCTCCAAAAACTGAAGGCACCAGGCATGCTCGACCAAGTTACCCAAGCCGAAAACATGCTCCAAGAGGCTTGGAAGGTCCAACAGGATCTTCTTGTGGAGCAGACCCACCATGCGTCCCACTTAACCAAATGCTTTGGTCGATTTGCAGTCAGAGTTTGTTTGTTCCTCACGAACAAACAAAGGGCAGGCCGGGAAACCAAGCACTGGCAATCTCTCCAAGCCATCTTGACTGCCTACACCAAGGAGATCCAAGACAGCTCGGCTGGCGATGCCATTGCGGACCACAGCATGACTCCAAACATGCAGGTGACTGATGTCTTGGCAGCCAGCAACAAAACCATTGCCATGCTCCAAAACAACCACATGGAACTGGGCAAGTTGTTGCTTGGAGCGGAAGCTAGCAATTGGCCTATAGCCAGAATATCCTTGTAAGAGAATATATACATAAGCATATAGGCAAGGAATATACAGATGTGGATAGATTCCTTGATGCCAAGTGCTGAGGTACACCACCAAGGACCACGGTGCCAAGGTGTTCAAGCTGACGGATGTCACGGACGACCATGCCACCATGACTCACAAGCCACTCTTCCAAGATGAGGAAGAAGTCCATGTGCCATTGCAGAAGCTGCCAATGTGGAAGGCCACCAAGGCCATGATGCCGATGTTGTGCCCCCAGGATCTTGCCAGGGAAGGAATGACGGCGAAGCTTCTGTTGGAGGAGCGGGCCAGGTCGGAGGTCCAGCTGGCTCTCCACAGAGCGGCGGAAAAGCACCATGTGGATGCCCAGACCATCGCTTTCGGCCAGAACCCGCAGGGGTTGTTTGCCATCAAGACAATTCGCAAAACCATTCGTTTGGTTCCACTGGGCACGGTGAACAAAGCCAAGTCGACCGCCAAGGAAACGAAGCTCCTCATCCAGCACGGCGGCCACAGCTGGACCATTGGGCCGTTCCGCCAGAATGCGCAGTTCGAAGCAGACAGTGCGTTTTGCTTGATTCCATATTTCTGGTGCAAGCCCACGAGCGAAACCTCCGAGGTCACCATGGTTCACTCCACGGTCGTCGAGTCTGGGATTACCATCCCATGCTTGGAGAATCCTGCTCC